TATATATATATATATATATATATATATATATATATATATGAATGATATATAATAACATATGAAGTATTAAATAATATTAGATAATTCTATATTATAGTTAAAATGTAAAAAATTATGATATATTATAATATATACAAAAATTAATTTTTGTTTATTATTTAATAAAATCTAATAAATTTGTGTTTTACATCATTGAAATAAAATTTGTATATTATGTATAGGTGCAATGTCCGAGTTAATCATATCGAATATAAATATATATACTTATATATTTTTAAATATATTATAACAAAAATGGTACAAAATACAACAAGCGTTTTGGCAATATGATCATCATTAAATCGACGACAATACACCAACAACAAGTTTTTTATGCAAGTATGTATCTATATAACATAAGTTAACATCATTTCCATATAATAATTATCTACTAATTAGATTATTTTATCGTTCTGCGATCTTACATGATAACGGCAGTAAAAGATTGACTTAAGATCGACAATAATTTATCGCATTTGAACAATCGACTGATCTTTTTGTGCGTCTTCGTTTTCTACTGTTGCAAATGAAGGTAGTTCTGCTTTAGTAGCTAATTGTAAAGCATAGAACCATCTGAAAATTTGATTTGAATTTTATGAGTTTAATAATGTGTAACGTAATATAAATGTATACATATATACGCGCATGTACGAGAAACATATGAAACTTACTTTTGTTTGTCTTCATCCGATAACGCTTGTAAATAGTAACTTTTCCTAGAATGATGCATTTTAAGAGCTCTAGGTCTATCCTTGAAACTTAAAGGATCTTCGTCGGATAATTTAATACCTTCCGTAACAATAAAACCGGGCATAGGAGTTGCTGTCAAAGCCATATTTTCAGATTCAGATTTAAATGTATACAAAACAAAATCGGCGTGTAATGCAAACCATCGTCGCGTCCAAGGTTTACTCGCTTGAGTTTTTAACATAAGATATCCAGATATAACGGAAGATGCGCTTGCTGAAACTTGTAATAAACTTGGTACCGGTCCAGATGTAGACGTCGAAGAAGGTGATTTAACAAGCGGTTGCGTTAAAGCGGTATAACATAAGCGGCAAACTCTCGTATTCTTATTATCTTCGAACAATAACTTTTGATTTGAACATTTACCGCAAACAATCTATATAGCAAATAAAATATTATACATTAAATGATGATGATAATAATGATAATAATAATAATAATAATAAAAAGAACGATAAATATATTTCCTTATAAGTTTATCATTGATAACATTTTTTTTTTCATTTCAACTAATTATGATATATATCATTGAGAAAAATTACTCACTATTCCGCAAGCTCTGCAATTATGTTTTCGTTTCATCACAGAAAAAATCACCTCGCATATCATACACTTAGATATATCGTCACTCTTTAAGACAAGTGTCTTAACATCACCAGTTTTTAAACTTGCTTTCCTTTTCATCATTTCTTGCATAGTATCGAACAGGGCATTAAGCCATGCTGCTTTTTCTTCGGCTGCATGTGTATATAATTCGACGCTTTTATCTTCGTCTCTTATATAAAATGTATTTGCTGTTTCCAAATTATCACCTTCGATTATTTGCAAATTTTCGATTAGAAATTTAGCTCTCAATCGATATAATGGCCCAGGTATTAATCTTATTGAACAAAGTAATAATAAATCGCTAAACTGAAAAACGGAAAAAAAAGAATCATTATTTCCATCATTTAACTAAGCGTAATATTAATTATAAATGGATATCATCGTTACACGTATCAATAAAAATTTATATATAAATAAATTTTTCATGTGTACACGATATATTTAAATTGTGTATATATTAAGTACAATATTATTTTGTACGTACCAGAAACAATTGTCTTTCTTGATGATCACCGCTCCTTGCTGAAATTTTAACGATACGACCCTCTTTTATAAGCTCCCTCGTAGCACTGACTAGATCCGTTGTATCGTATATACTCTCTTGTATTTCAAGAAGTTTTTTGAACTTGTCAATCTTCTTCATTGCATCATTCGTGTGATTAGCAGCAGTAGACACTAATTCCAATGCCTCTACGAGAAAGAAAGCCATGTCTGTTCGTTTGATTTTACGATTATAATCGTCGCCATCTACGGACGTCTATTTAAACGTGCCCCGTTCAATAGACGTTTAAATAGAAGCAAGTCCTTGCTAGATGCGCATTATTTTATGCGGAAGTAACTCATCGAATCGAATGGAACTCGAAAGATCCTTACTTTTAGTATCCTTGTAATCAGCATTTTCTTCTGTGAGGTTTCTCAAATAATCTTTCAGAAGAAGCTCGTATCTTGGTAATCTTTGTATAGGGCTCAACATGTGATGAGGCAATGATAATTTGGCACACTCATCCAATTTTTGAATCTCATCGATAATCGCAGCAAATCTGGTGACTTTAGTTTGAAGAGACTGTATCAAATTCATGGCATAATCAAAGTTTTTTACATATTCTGTGTACATTTTAAGAAAAGGCGCAAAATTCTTCATTATGTCTCCGATTCTAGGATTTGAATCCCAATTTTGCATTCTCTCTTGAAGTTGAGGTAACAAGAAATCATTGTGAAATTTATATATCGATTTGATATTAGAGAACATGTGTTGAACAGTCTCTGGAGGAAACATAGGATGTGCTCTATTCTCTTGATCGATTTTGAATTGGAATACTTGATCGATCAATCGTAAAACGTTAACATAATTTTTTTCAGTAACCAACAATTCTTCAGCAACTCGACGTGCATTTTTCCTTTTGGAATCCAAATAATTTGTATTATCAACCGATTTTAATTCTAGAATGGAGTCATCAGTATTATGACTCACGACTATCGCGGAATCTGTTTCCGATGATTTTGCTCCTTCCGATTCCTCTTCACTTTCGGATTCGCTTATCGCAAATGATTCCACTGCATATCGATGAGAATTTCTATCCGTAGTTAAATATCTACATAAAGAGAGATTTTTTAAAAAATATTTTCGTGAAATAAATTACAATCATTCCTAATTGATTAACATACCTACTATTCCTATATTCCAAAACATTGCGCGATATTCGTACGAATGGAACTTCCATCGAATTCTCTTCTCCTTCTTGAGTATCACCTTGATCCATTGAATTTTCAGTCGACATTACAAACGATCGAAATCGTGGAAAACCTCCAAAGGAAGCAATTTTTCGAAATGAATGTCCATCATAATTTTCCTGCCTCTCACTTTCCGCTATTATATCAGAATGGTTGAAATCTTTATCCTGGCATTCTTTTAACTCATTTAGATCAGCTTTTCTATCCATTACTTCGTCAGGTTCTAATTCAGTATAAAAGGTACTGTTTGATGTTTGTGTCCTTGATACAAACATTTTGAGTGGTCCGTTAAAATTCCTTTTATCTTTAAATTTTAAAATCGGCCTTGTTGTCCAAAGTGAAACATCTATCGATCGGTTCTGTTGCATTCTAAGCCTAAATTCATTAATTAAATAATTAACAATCATAATTTAAATTAATACAAGAAAACACATTATAAAATTACAAAATTATAAATACAATATAAAAAATTTTCTATTGTTTATTATTAATTACCTTTTCGCAATATAATCATTTTATTCAATAAATACATTGGACGCTGAATTAGTGGAATCCAGCGTCGATCAACAACCACATATTATACGTTCGTTAAACATGAGCGTATATGTATATTATTCCATGTTGATATGAATCAACGAATCTACCTGTATCGAATTTTCTCATTTTGTACGAAGCCAAAATAATGAAATTTTTCAGTGAAAAATCTCAGATAGTAGCTCGATGCAAACTAATTTTTGCATTAATTTATTAATAATGTACTATTCTTACATGCAACTATTATTATATTTTATATAGATATTCTTCAACAAAATTTCCTTACAACTTTGTATATAGATAAAAGACAGATTTTAATATTTTATCTATAACTCTTAATAATAATTAACAGATAAAAATGAACAAAATTAATAATTTTGATCTTTAATATTGGTTCAGTTTTTTGACCTGTTTATAATTAATAATATGGGTTAAGAAAACACACATAGACATTTCAGCCAGTACTTGGTTACACCTTAGAATGACATATGTGCCATCTACACGAATATATTCACATGCATATTCATGTATGCATATTCATGCGTAATGTACTTAAATGTAGATTAATCTCATATATTTTTATATGTAATTCTCTTAATTATATATTCATACAGTAAATACACTTATAAAATTCGTAAATTTAGCAATATACTTTCGTAAGAAGTAAAAAATGAATAACGTTTATATAATCTTTTTATACGAATACACAGTTACAATAGAAATATCCAATAGAGAGTAAGATTAAGCAAGTAATGGAGGATCGTTCAAAAACGAGTCGTTGCGCGGTTAAAGAATGTATATTCTCTATCTAGTATTGTTTCTTAAAATGATATGTTGATGAAAGATGCCGAAATTGTGATGAACAGACCGAATATAAGAGCTGAAAATTCCCCCCAAGCTCAAACTATGTAATTGCGTTAAAATCTTAGAAACATATAACTATAATTTGCGGAAGGTTATCGATTACGTCTCTTGGTTTAACACGATGTAGCCTCGAAGAAAAAGTATATGATCGTTGAAACCGCATATCTATCGGTGCGTAAAATTGTTAGGTTAATATAATGTATTAAATATTATCTTTATCTTGTTTAACATGTACTACCCATCAAGGGGTTTCGCGGGTATACGAGTTTATGGGTAATATTTCCCAAGATTCTTTGGTATCAAATTGCGAGGCTGCGCGAAACACCGAAAGTTGAATTTGCTATACGAGGAAGAAAGATAAAGAAAATAGGAGAGAGAAACAAAAGACGTTCGAATTTTATTCGATGTTACTTTATCATACATTATCGTAAATAATTGAAATTTTGTTTTATAATTTATATCTTTTTCGATTAACAAATGGCACATTGCTCGTATATGTATCTTATGTACCTTTCATTTCGCCACGATCATGGTGATCGCGATTGTCATCATTATAACCGCCTTTGTAAATATAATAATTAATATCGATTCTAAATATCGTTGATGACTATATATAATTATTGGTACAGAAAATGTTATTGATATAATGCTTTGCGCGTTATTTGTGTTAAAATCGTTACGCGGATATTCAATATAATCAATTGGTGGATGTTCCTGATTGCACGTGATATCTCTTCTAAATGTTTATACCTCGAAAAATTCGTGCAAGTATTCATTTTCGTCGGTAAAGATAACTTGGTACAATACACGCGAATCTTCAATGCATCGCAAGCAAGTTGCTGATGACCCCTGTTTTGAGACAGATGCTTACCTGCGGACACGAAACTAAGACACAAAATAATGACGTGGATCATCGGCGATCATCGCGAAACGTTGTTTGTTCGCAGCTCTGGATTTATAGAGAAATATGTCGACACAAGGCGCAGAACTTTCAAATCGTTTCGTGACTCGAGATGTGGAAATTATGTCGGATGAGACACAGGTAAATACCATTTTATTTTATTCAACGATTCGTTCAATTAAAACGGTATAATTTATTTTATTTCACAAGTTTATCTTTTGTCATTAATCATTTTATTTTGCAGAATAATCGTATGGATATATTGGAATGTCTATCCGTTTTAATTAATGAGAATAACTCTGCGAATGATCAAACAGAAGGATTAACATTGGATGAACATCTACTAAGCGATGGCACAACATTGACAGCAGTAACATTACCCGATGGAACGCAAGCATTCGTTGCCAATAATTTCAACGATAATGGTTAGAAATTAATAATTCAACGCAAAAGGACCCTAAAAAACTTAGTTATTCGTATCAATAACAAAACATTTAAATATATAGAATAATATTTAAATGTTTTCAGTATGTAGAGTTAGTCAAGTATTATAACTATTTATTTATAATTTCTGCAAATTTTTTATCTGTACTATTCTACGTTCGATTTAGATATGGATTTAAAAAGGCAAACAACATTAGAATTGGAGAACGGAGATACTATATTGCTTCGCAATGTAGCAGAACTTACCGAAGGTAAACCACTTCAATTGGAATTGGAACCAGCAACTTTAGTTCAAGCTCATCAAACTACCATAGAGAACGTTGAAAACTATCCACGTGTGGAATTTATCGATGGTAATGCTTATATGGTAGCTGGTCACATCGATGTTAGTAATGATTTGTGGGAAATCGAAGATGGTAAATTGAAGAAAAAGGATTCGAAAATTTTATTAAACAAATTATCCACATCGAGGATAAGACATCCTTGTCCAAGAGAGGGTTGTTCAAAAGTTTACAGTACGCCTCACCATCTCAAGGTAAAAATCGTTTCTGATACCAATTACAAATTGTAATGTAAATCAATTCAGATCCATTCACAATTAGCATTTCCTGTTCAATGTTATTCACATCGATAGATGTAAGTGGAAAATATTTTTAATGATATGAATTTCATTAACATAAGCATATTTGGAAACTTAAATAATAACAATATATATATATGAATATATATGAATCTGTTTGATTCTTATAGATTAAGATTTTTAAAGATTTAATTACGGTTAGTTAAAAATTATGATATTATGACAATATTTTGTTTTCTTATAATAATATCTAAAATAATGTCATAAAACCAGGTTCACGAACGATCTCATACCGGTCAACGACCATACAGATGCACGCATCCAAAATGTAAGAAGAGTTTCTCAACAGGATATAGTTTAAAAGCTCATTTACGCACGCATACAGGGGAAAAACCTTACAAATGTCCAAATGAAACATGCGATAAAAGTTTCAAAACATCCGGAGATTTATTAAAACATGTACGAACACATACCGGAGAACGTCCTTTCTTATGTCCGTTCAATGGTTGCGGTCGTTCTTTTACTACGAGCAATATTCGGAAAGTAAGAGAAAATTTTAAAATGATATAATGTTGTCAAGGAAAAATAAATAAACAAATAAATAAAATAAATAAACAAATAAATAAAATAACAGTTAATAGAAGAAATTATATTCTGTATGTATGTATGCCAGGTTCACGTGAGAACGCACACCGGCGAACGTCCATATAAATGTACACAACCTAAATGTGGCAAAGCATTCGCGAGCGCAACAAATTATAAAAATCATATACGAATTCATTCAGGTGAAAAACCATATGTATGCTCTATTGAAAATTGTGGAAGAAGATTTACAGAATATTCTAGTCTTTATAAGCATCATCTCGTTAGTAATTTTATCATTATTTGCAATTGCCGATGACGATTGATTTTAACTTTTCAATTTTATTTTTTTTCTTTTTAGGTTCATACGCAACAACGTCCGTTCGAATGTAAAGTTTGTTTTAGGAGATACAGACAAAGTAGTACTCTCGTAATGCACAAAAGAACTGCTCACGCGTTAATAGACAACGATGATAACGTTGATGTTCTTTGTAAAAATTCTATTCAAGAATCATCTAGTCGAAACAAAGATAAACAAAAAAGAAATATTACACGAGACAATGGTAATTCATCGTTAAAGGTAAGACATTTTGTATTTCGAATACATTTTAAGAACAATTTTCAAAAAAATGTTCCTTTTTTCCGTATATAACCGAAGATTACAGAGAAAGATGGGCAAATACAGATTTCTAAAGCAATCGACGATTTGAACGATAATGAAACGCAGATTTTATTAGTCGGTGATCCTTCGCATATCGCGGCGCTACAGGTTTGTTATCTTTATATATTTATTGTATATATCTTTATTTTTTTCCTCTTTACTTTATTTCAATTTGTTTTACCTCGTTAAATCCGATAGCAATATATCTGATAATATTTATTATATCTTATGTATTTACAGAAGATCGAACTAAATGGTGAATTCGACGAGCATGGTATCGATACTTCTTTCGAAGAATTAAATATAAAAATCGAAGATATAGAACTTGGATGGCATTGATTACTTCAAAATGAAGTATATTCAATGAATATTAATTGAAAACATAAATCATCTATTATATTCTTTTGTCTATTTTGACAATTTTGTCCGTTCTTTTTTTTTTTTTTTTTATTATATATTATATACATATTGTAATTCACTATCAATTTTCAACATCGAGAAGTAAAGATAACTTAGGCTTATTAAATTATTGGGAATGGTCATTGATGAAGCGTTTCGTTTATCGATGTAAAAAAAAAGTTTTATTCATTCGTTATTTAATAAAAAAATGTATCGTCGCGAAAATACATCTGATCATTATATATATATATATATATATATATATATATATATATATAATAATAATAATAA